TTAGCTGACATTTGCCGGCTTTTGGTTGTCGCCGGAGACATTCGTTGGTTGACATTTGCTGACATTAATGCGCTGCTGAATTGCTGATTTAATGAATTAACCATTGAAATATGTTCATATGTGCAGTGGAAATGGGAAAAATATTATAACGGTATCGCATTACAGTCAAACAGTAGACATCGTAGATACTAATGGTCTATAGTGGTTTGAAATAAAAGTGTTAGTATATGTGAACTTAGTTGCAAGTTAAATTAAAATGTGTTAATTTATAGTTCCTCTACTGGAATTTAATAGAAATTCTATTTTCTTATTGTATACTCCTATAGGTTCGTTGGCTTTTGATATATATTTTGAGCTTGAGCTCAGTTAGGTTAAAAATCTTGACAGAAATGATTACTGTCATTCCAAAGGACATTCTTTCGCATTGATTATTTGAAGCTAATCTCTTTCAAATGCTGGCTGCGGCTACATCTCAGATGATCCCTCCGCTGAGTGCAATTTTCGAATCTCATTCAAGCATTTCGACTGAACTGGCGAATTATTCGCGTCCTGTTTTGGTCCCAGGATTGAATCGAAACGAGATTCTTCTACAGGAAAAACTGTAACGGTTTGCTTTCACACGATCTTGGTGGCCAATCCACTGGCCCAAAGTGTGAAATTATCTGCTTATCTGTGTTCTCTCAATAAATACATTGTTTCTTGCGATAAGTGGGAAGTGGTGCCGCTTTGTTGATACCAAATTTCGCTGAGTTGAAGGATTTCAATTTCAGGCATCAAATAGTCGGTTATCATGACGGGACAATGGTCGCAATTGACGGTTACGTTCTCACCGGCATCATCCTTGAAGAAATGTGGACCGATGATTATGTCGATCATCAAACCACAACAAAACGTTATTTGTTCTTAATGACAGCTTTTGAATATCTTATTCCCCAATGTGGCAATTTTGCTTGTTCACAAACCCATTGAGCTCTTTTTCTAGAGCTCATGGAGCGAAACGATGTCACTTTGAAAGGTCGACCGGCTTCAGTTCTTGCACAATTTTGTACGTTTTAATTTAAGATCGGGACGTAAACTGCGCCAAGTGGTTCCATACGTCAGTCCCAGTTGCTGCGAATGCCGCCGGTCTTCATGTACAATCTCAGCTCGGTCTGCTATATTTTCTTCACTGGTCTACTATTAGGTCGAATAGTATACAAAAATGAATGTTGGGTCTTAAGATGGGTGATGGAGTTGCGAATAGCACGCTCAGTAGGCCGATTATCTTGACGATAAGTTGAGTGGAGCGAGCGAAATATATTCGTAAATTTTCGAAATAAAGTTGAACGATTTGTAAATGTTGTTCAGTCGCTTAAATGTAGTTCCTCCACATCTTTTAATTTCAAAAAAATTTTCTTTACAAACTAGTTTGCTTTTGCACTGCCCACACTCAATTCTATTTATTTGATTAAAAAAAAACATATTCTTATTCACACCATCTTAATTTTTAGCAGCTGTGATTTGCTGTGGCCGCCATCCAAAAATGAAACTAAGCAATAAATACTCAAATAAAGCAGCAAAAAAAAAAAAAAAAGTTAAAAAATCTGAAAATAGAATGAATAAAATAGACGAATTAGAAATGTTTTTGGGTGCAAAAGCATTAGCGGGCGCTTGCCACATGTTGCATCTGTCAAGCGCTACAGGCAGTCAACCAACCATACGAAACTTGTGAAATTTTGAAAGCCTAAAAACGTACACACACATATATGTGTTTTTTAATTTTTAATTCACTTTACTAATTCCGCCCTTATTTTGTTCACAAAACTATATATTTTCAATTGAAGCGCATATTTTATCTTACCGGCACCTTTTCAATTTCGGCAAAGGCAGCATACGAACTCATAATCGTAAATATATATTGTAGACTTGAATATTTGACTTCGGTGGCGTTTTGAAATATTTATGTAGCATTCACCTAAGGCAACTCTTCTCCGAGTACATGTGTGTCTATATGTATGCCTATGTGTGTATTTGAGTTCTGCGTGTGGAAATCGCTTTGAATAATATACATACATATGTATGTAAGTATGTACGTATTGTTTTTTTTTTTAAATTTGGTACTTGGTTGAGCAGCCTTTTTCTGTTTAGTCGAAAATTTCGCGCTTGCTTGTGACAGTCGGGCTGCCCGTGAGTGGATGTGGGTGCTGGCAGATATACATACAATATTTACATGTGTAGTGGCATGCATGTGTTAGCGCGTCACTATAAATTTTCATTTTCTGATTTTTCCTGATGCTGTGAGTTCTGTTTGTTTATGTGTGTGTGTGTGTGTGTGAGTTTTAGCACAAACGAAGACGGTGGAACGCGAAAACTTTTAGTAAAATGTGTGGCTGCGTTGCAGTGTGTTCCAATTAAACTAATTAGCTTGCATAAAGCAGTAATAGAAAAAAAAAAAATAAAAAAAAATTTAGAAAATTAGTGTTATAAAAATACAACTCGTGCGAGATAAATAAATATTTACTTTACGCCTTGCCATTTGATTGCCTTCAAAAAAACTCGTTTGTTGGCGATAAAATTGTGATTTATGCATCATTTTTCAAATATGCCGTTATTCTTAAAACAAGTGGTTTTTTGTGTGTGTGAAATTTTGAATACAGCTGAATTCAAAAAATATACTTACTCACTTAAAATGCAAAATAACGTAACATAACTTTTCATAAGTTTACAGGCGAAGTGAAAACCATTTATATTGAAAAAAATTTGGGTTCCGGTTATAAAATGGTTATATTTTGGTAATATATTGGTTATATATTGGTTATGTATGGGTTATTTATCGGTTATATCTGAGAGCGGAAGTTGAAAATGTATGGTACATCTAGATATGTAATATGATGATATGCTGTAGTGAATCTTAAGCAATATAAAATTTAATTTCGATTTTTTTTATGTTACGTTGTTTTGCAATTTAGGTGACGATATATAAATTGCTTGCAACCATTTCAATTGCAGCGATTGGCTTGTGGAAAAATAATTAAATTTTAGTAAAGTAAAATAATATTGAAAATTGAAATTAAAATAAATATAATTTAATATTGGTAATTGAAAATTGGCCGAGGACCCAAAATTGTTTTTAAGGCTTTAGCTTAACACGTTGGCTCACAGTGCCAAAGCGTAACTTGTATATTTTTGCTTGACACCTGGGAGTAGAACGTAGAACGAATATAAAATATCATACCTGAAGTTATATAGGTATATAAAAAAGGAAATACCGTTAACATAGATTACATCAAAGCTAATGCCCTTCACAAATAAAAAATGTCATACAAGGACTGTATTTTGTGGAGAGGTTTGTATGACAGCTTTATGTTATAGTGGTCCAACCTGAATAGTTTTTTCAAAAATTATACCGTTGTTTTGGATATTCATGTATTCCAAATTTCGTGAAAATATTAGGTCAAATAAGAAAGTTTTCCCTACAAGAACTTGATATCTATCGTTTAGTTTCTTTGGTAGCTATGTATATGCTAAAGTGGCCCGATCTGAACAATTTTTTTCAGAGATTATATCGTTGTTTTTGGCATTAATGCATATCAAAATTTGTGAAAATATTTATTCAAATGAGAAAGTTTTCAATACAAGAATTCAATTTTGAGCGATTGGCTTGCATGGCAGCTGTATGCTATAGTAACCTAATCTCAACAATTTTTTCAAAGAGATTTAGATATTAATGTATACAAAATTTAAGGAAAATATCTAGTCAAAGATAATGTTTTCCATACAAGAGCTTGATGCCTGTCGTTCAGTTTCTAAGCTATAATAGTTCAATCTGAACAATTTTTTCAGAAATTATACCATTATTTTGAATTTCTATCCATGCCATATTTTATGGAGATAACTTGTCAAATAAAAAAGTTTCCCATACAAAACGACAAATAGCAGTTTCTTGGGGACAAAAGGCAGCATGCATAATTTCTGATCGAGGCCTCAAAAACCGAGGGACTTTTTCGCGTATATACAGAAGAAAAAATAAACTAGACTAAATTGACTCAGCTCATCACATTGATCATTTATGATATTTTCATGAAATACTGAAAAAATGCTTTCCCATTCCAAAAACGAATGTTGTTATTTTAAAGCTCTATGGTAGTTGTAAAAATTCTACAAAAATAAGTTGTTTTCTAACGGTACTTTTTATACTATTGTAGTAAGCAGAACGCACTGAAAACGGCGTTTCATTGCTATGAAGATAGTACTTCAACCCCAAAAAGAAATAAAAATAAACAAATTTATCTTTTCTCCTAATAATTTATTGTGATTATTATTAATAGAAGTAAATATTCGATCTAGCATTAAGATGGTGTAATGAGAAAGCATTTATGAGATTAATAAAGCCCTTGCACTTAAAATACCTGTTTTTAGCTCAGTAATCGTATGAAGTTGACGACAAACCGCGTAAATCCTCCTTTTTTACCAGCCATTTCCAGGTATTCTCAATAGGATTTACATCAGGAGAGCAAGCTGGCCATTCCAAAATATCAATATTTTTTACTTAAAGCCACGCTTTCGTTGACCTGCTATGTATGGCTTCATGTCTTGTCTTGTTGAAAAGAGAAATATACATTTTATTATATTATTTGTACTGCTCTAGAATTTGAAAATGCCCTAACCGTTTAAATCGGTTAGCCGATTAGTCGAATACGCAGAGCACCATTTCAGAGTATAATTTCATTTATTTATAAATTTCGAAAAATATCTAGTGGCCGAACGGAAGCGATTTTCAAATTCTTTCACATTTGTTCTAAAAGGCTATATCTTCAAAATTTGAATTCCACAAATTTCTTTGTGTGCCACAATTTATAAAATTTTCAAGCTCATCTCAAATAAAAATAAATTTTATCCTGGCATTATATTACTTTTATTTATACATATATTACCTTACCTTACCTTACAACATATTCGAAAATAACTGCGCAAGTAAAAGGGCTTCCATTAATTTGTTGCTTTTTTTCTTCCATTTTCAGATCCTTGCAGTGCAACCACCGCGTCCAGCTAAAAGGTAAGGTATCAATTTTGCTTGCACATTCGCGTGCAGATTGCTCGCCTGCGTGCGTTTGATCTATAAATTTAGACAACTTTCACAGCTACAAGCAGCCATAAGCATTATGTATTTATACACATATATTATGCACGGACGCATATCGTGTTAAAACTAAAGCTATACACATGCACATTGCTCATACGAGTCAAGTTATTTCTCACTCCGCGACGCGTGTCCTATTTATGTGGCATGCCTGCTGATGTGGCGAAATTTATTATTAACTAGCAGCGGGATACGAGCGCGAGCATTGAAAGAATATTGCGTTTATTGCTGGCTTGCCCTGCAAAGAAAATGTGGATTATGAACATGATGATATGATATTTCAAATATTTATAAACAATGTTCTCTTCTTCTTCTTGATTGGCGTAGTCACCGCTTACGCGATTATAGCCGAGTTAACAACAGCGCGCCAGTCGTTTCTTCTTTTCGCTACGTGGCGCCA